TTTCTGTCATTTTTAATCCACTTATCATTATGATAGACAAGAAAAAAAAATAAAAATAAATTTAAATCTAATTCTTACCTTGCACGTAGCTCTCTTTCAATCAAACAGCGTTCTGCTGGTCTGTGGCTCCTACTGAAGATCCCACCCAGTAGTCGCTGGCCTTGACTAGTATGGGGTAGCTCTATACTATTTTCCTTATGCATGATTAACATATTTTATCTAAAGATAGTCTCAATCAATATGCATGATAAACATTCGATTTTTTTTAACAATAAAAAAAAAATAAACGACTTCTATTTAGAAAACAATTATATAATCATAAGATATAGGTGTACGACTAAAATAGAAACATCGTCATTGATAATAAACTTTCTTTGAATGTATCAGTTCAAAATGATTTATCGGATAGTCTTATAGGAAAAAAATCGGACAGAATAAATTAATATTTTGTTTATTTTTAGTATATTTGTTTAAGACATGCCATTTATCACTAATCCATTATCCTCCCCCAGATATATTATTAGAGAAAGGCTACAATTCGGTTTGGTACCAAATATAAGATTTTCTCATGCTCAAATTTCATAAATGGGGTACCATTGCCTGAATCGTATTCTATACTTTTGTTTTTCCTTTTAAAATAAATAAAGTCGCTATAAACATTTCGCTAGGCTTCAATACTGGAACGGTGGTAAGAATGTGGATCGATACGGGACAAATTGAAATTTGATGATTTTGATGCGGCACCAATATCCGTTTAGTTCCTTCTGAACTACCTGACCTTTCGTTTTCATGTCTAAAAATGTACCATCTTTGAGATAATCCAAAAGCCTAAGCGTTCCTACCCACAAAACCACAAGTTGTAGTGCTGTCATGGAATGCATGTCTCATTTCGTCGACTTGAGGTCCCTTTCATTTTATTGTTTATCATACTTCTTTTTTGTCGGTATACTATATATTCGTTAATTCTGTATCAAATTACAAGATTGAGCTATCATTCCTTCAGGCTCAAAAAATGTTAATATCCCCCAAAATTTCAGAAAAAAAATATGAAGGAAAAGAAACTTTTATGCGAGTAATTCCAACTAAACTTGTTTGTTGATTATATCCATGATAAACTATTACTGAATTCTCTAACGAAAGAAATATCATCGAAATACGACCATTAGTAGCAAAGGTACAATTAATCTTGAAATTTCTAAAGATATCAGTTCAAAACATGAAGGAAGTTTTAAATTATCATTACCATCGCCAATTGTCATTATCTTTAACGACTAAAGTTAGCGACAAGATAAAAATTAATTTCTCAATATTACGATGAGGTTCTATTATCTTATTTTCTTATTCATTTTTCGTTTAATATATGACACTGACCAATATACAGTGTGAATTATTAGCCCGAGCCAACTATTTCTAATTGTAGATCCTTTCTGGCTCTCGGAAGCTAGGAATTTTGACGACTTACATATTAAAAGAAATGAAATTCCAAGGAGAACGAATCGAAATTATTTAGAAATATCTCTCTCTCTCTCTCTCATGGCATGTTTCATGTCGATGTGCTGTAATTTGTCTTGATTTAGTCGGATTTTCCAAATTTTGAACCAGTCATGTAATCTTATTAAATACATGTAATCTTGTTGTAGGGTCTGTGAGGCGTATGTTGGATTTTTGTGTCTTGCTAAAATTGCTGTATCGTCTGCATATGTCGCTGTTAAAATGTTAGGACTGCAAGATATGTCATGGGTGTATGTGATATAGAGTAGTGGAGTGAGTACTGAACCTTGAGGTACTCCTGCTGAGATCGACCTGATGGAAGATAGTTCTGACCCGTGTCGGACCGAGAAAAATCTATCGGAAAGGAAGGATTGTAGAATTAGATAATATGTAGGTGGGAGTATTGTCTTGAGTTTAAAGAGAAGACCCTGGTGCCAAACTCTGTCAAACGCTTGAGCAACATCCAGAAATACCCCAGTTGCATATACTTTCTGCCCTAGTTCTGTAGATATGTAGTCCGTTACTCTATGTAGTTGGTGTACAGTTGAGTGATGTGCCCTAAATCCAAATTGATGGTCAGGTATTATTTGGGTGTTTGTTAGTACATCAACAAGTCTTTTGTTCTGTAGGCTTTCAAAAATTTTGGAACAGATAGGTAGTAAGTTGATTGGTCGGTATGAGGAAGGTGAGTTTTTGTCCTTGTTAGGCTTGTGAATCATTATTATATGTGAGTATTTCCACTGTAGTGGAAATTTAGTTGTCCTCAGTATTGCATTATAAATAGTTGTCAAAAGCACCAGAGCTTTTCTAGGCATTTGTTGGAGCACATCAGCGTTAATCAAGTCATGTCCTGGAGCTTTTCTTTTTAAAATTAATGTAAAGCTTGTCGTTGTTAAAATCACTTAAAAAGGATTGTAACTGTAACAGTGAGTAACTATTGGGCGCCTATATTCAGCTAAGTTCCCTTTAAAAAATATCATAAATCATTCTTAATTTTTTATTATGATCCTTTAAATATACTACAGATACCCCACATTTAGAATACATCCTCGTTTAATAAGCTTTAAATCCATATTAATTGATTTGAGTTTTTCAATTTAGGCAATTATCTTTATTATAATACTTCCCAGATCATATAAAAACAGGAAATTAAAGCTTTGAAACAGTTAATTGTAGTTTGCTGAAAACAGGGATACTTTTGGATCACTTTAAAAAAATTTTCAATTTTTTAACTTTTTCAAGTTTTTGCCTAATAAACCTAAACTCATTTAATATGGACTTAAAGCTTATTGCAACAAAAAGTTTTTCAAAAATAATAATTTATGATTTATATTTTAATAGTGCTCAGTTTAATTCGGCTGATTTATAGTCCTCGTAAACTGGTTTCGACAATGCCAAACTCTATTTTTGTTTGAAATAAATTTTATCTAGCTTACAATTAAGGAATTTTTAATTACTTAAATTAAATATTTCTTTAGTTTTATATATATATATATATATATATATATATATATATATATATATATATATATATATATATATATTAGCTATAAAATTTTTAAAAACGGACCTTGAAAAAAACAACATTCATTGGCATCAGAACTCCGTAACCTAGGTCGTATTTTTCTCTTATTTTTGTGCAAACATCCAAAAAGTGATTTAATTTCTTCATTGATGCTAACCACAGAAAACAGAATAACACTAGTAAATTGTCTAAATTACTGAATATATTTCTCAGTTTGTTATGTAAATAGCCGTTTATACGTGTTGAATAACTTTTATATCTCTAAAAGACACGAATACAGTTCTCATGAAAATTCACAACTATCTAACTCAATTATAACAGGCTGTAGAAGTACCACAAACTGCAAAAACGCTAAAATAAATTTTAAAATAACGGTGATGTGGAAAAGTAATTTAAAGCCCCGAAAGGTACGTTTTTAAGACCAAATACTATTTAAAAAGATCACGCATGTCACTTTATTTACATGAACCCTAAATTAAATGCAGTGGAAAATATTTTATATTACATCGATTTTTGAAGTAATTATTAAATTGCCTATTTCGTAAATTTTGTAATTTTAAACGTTTTGTAAAGTAACTTTATGATAATACTGTACTATGAAAAATAATTTTTTATTCAACACTAAAATAAATAAAAAAAATTATTATTCTTTTCCATATTGAAGCTTACATTGTATTTATGTACTAATAACTTTAATTAAATGAAAGTATTCAGAGATTCCTAGAGGAGGGGTAACATTAAATAAGGAAGTTTTTCTGTTCTATTGTTTCATATGTTTTCAAAATTTCATAGATTATTAAACTTCTAGCCGAATGTACCTATAAAGTTTATAATGAATTTAACTTTGTTTAATTATGCTACAATTACTACTGCTGTTTTGGTTCATGGTATTAAGAATATTTGTAATAGTAAAAATCTACATTAGATCAAAATATTCCTACTTTATTTTCACTTTACATTCAACGTTTCAGCCCTTAGGCCATTTTCAAGGGATCACCTATTAACAACCTACCAGCCTTATTCCATTTTCTAATACAGAAATATTTTTTGGAGTAAAAAAAAAATAAATAGAAATCTAAATAACTTAATCTTTAGAGGGAAAATATTTAAAGTGGCATATTTAAGATTGAATTAAAAAGGCTAGTTAAAAATAAATCTTGAATTCTGGAACTATTTAATTTGGTAAATTATTTTGATCGTTGTAAGCACTATACAGGGTTTATCAATCTGGAATCAAATTGTCGGTTACGCTGGCTGCAGGATGTAAATATCATGCAGTAAACTTACATCATCATAAAAAGTTTTATGAAACAGCACAATGTGAGTACTAAGTACTCAAAAGATGAACTTGAGGATTTTGTTGAATAAACATTTAGGGACTTGTAATCATGGCAGATCCAGAACATCTCTTTTTGAGAATATATAAGCTAAAACATAGAAAAAGGACGTCAAACAGAATTTAACTTTTTTTTTATAATTATTGTTTCAGATATTTATGTTTTAAAATATTACTACTTTATTCATTTTTATTATAAATTAAACTTTACATATGATGATAACATAACTATTACTTACTTCCATTTATTTTTGCTATTTACAAGTATTTTTTTTCTTAACTTAAACATCACAGTTTGTAATTGTTACTTTTTTTTAAAACTTAAATTACAGGCATTCCATAATTTGAGGATGAATTATTTTATATATACATAGATCATAAAGAAACAATTCTTGTCAATTTACTAATATTCTTCGAAAATAGCTCAATACAGTGATTATAAATCTTATCAATCTCTAAAATTTGAAAATAGCTAACATGGATTTTTTTAATCTTATTTCATAATCCAGTAAGAAAAAAAACATTTATCTAATTAAACATTTGTTTATTACGGATTTCATATGTATCTCCAGTCTAGATATATTTTCTTATAAGTCTTTGTAAGAATGTTCGTTGACGAATTCATATATTCATCATCTTTTAAAGTAATCAGTTCCTTTTCACTTTTCTAGGAATAGATTTCCCTTTCAGTATCCTGAATAAAATCCTAATAGACTTCCAAGCTATGATCACAACAGCTAAAAACACAGAAATAATGAACAACATTACATCTATGAGATGTAGCTGTATGAATGACAAACTGGTAGATTTCGGCTGAAGAACGTTTGGATACTTGATGACGTGCTCAATCCAGAATACCGCTTCGTCAATCGGTTCCACAGCCCTGTCACGGAAGATTTCAGACCTTCTTGTCATTTTTTCTTTGTACCTAAGCAAAATTTTATTGTTTAAACTTTTATTTTCTGATTCATTTTGAAAAAAAAAATAATAGCTTTGATTTATGAAATTCGCATGGACACTTAAACTAACATAATATTTAGTAATAACGACTGTAATAAATTGTTGAGAATTAAATCCTTTTGAATAAATAAATAAATAAAATACACTGGAATAAATAAATAAAAAAAATGTTCGCTGGAGCGATGAAGCATTAATGAGTGCACTGTTCAACGATGGTTAAAAAAATTTCGGAAGGATGCCTTCAGCCTTGAAGACAAAGAAGGTCGTAGAAGGTGTTCCTCTCTTGATGACGATGTTCTGTGATATTTGGTGGAAGAAAATCCCACAACAACTGTTCGAGAACTTATAGGAAAAATTAACTTTACCAAATCGCTACAGAATCTTGAAAGTTGGGTTTCACACATATTAAACGATCGTTAAAAAAATCCAGCGTTATGAAGTATGTGTTACATTTCTTTGTTGAAACGAAAACCAATCTTTTTTGTCCAGAATTGTTACGTGAGATGAAAATTGGAAACTTTAAGATAAGAGTAGACGTTAGCTCGACAAAAGAGGCAGAAGAACATTTTCCAAAGCCCCCAACTCATAAAAAAAAAGTGATGGTTTCTGTTTGGTTTTGGGGAAGGGTTCAGACCGAAAGCTTTTTTTTTTTTTCATTTATATACATATATAACGATAGTTATTTTCGCCAAAAAAAGAAAGAAATTACCTATATTAAATGGTGTTTAAGTGGTTCTTGAAGTCCAATTAAATGTAATCACACGAACAAGAATACTCTAATAGATAATTTTTAACATTTTTGTCAGTAAAATATGGTTATATTTTACCATTTTTGGCGGAGAAGGGGGGGGGGGCTTTGGCCAAATAACTATTTACTTTTATTTTTTATCTTCAATAATTTTAAATTACAAAATCAATAGTCTTGAGTACATAAAAAATCCATACAATATACCACTGGCAAACCCATGTAGAGGAGGAAACGGGGTCCATATTCATTTCTATAAGTGATGTGAGCTAAATACTTAAATATCAGAGTATTTACTATATATTTTTTTAATTATAACACTTATACAGCATATTCTAAGAAAATAACATTACAATTAATCCTAAAAGCATTATTTTCTCTTTGATCGTACTTTTTTTTCCCTTCCAGAGTAGTTACTGTTACCAAAAATAAATATAATAATAAATAAATAAATAAAAATGGATCCAAAGTAAAATCCTTGGATCTGCTACTGCAATATGAGCCTTTTAGTGACAGAAGGACTTAATACAATTCCAACAGCTCTGAGCAAAGTCATTTTTTCGATATTTCTAGTTGAAAAAATTATAATACCTGTTCAGGCAATGAGTAAGTTGATTTCAGATTAGGATATTGCAGAGTTAAAATACAGAACGGTGAATAAAGGTATACATTTTCCCACTCCAAATATCACTAAAATTAATAATAAAAAAAATTGCAATTGAAGTTAGTCATACTGTCAACTAAAAGGCTTACATGATAAAATTGTATTATTAATTATATATATATATATATATATATATATATATATATATATATATATATATATATATATATATATTTTAATATAACTGCTATATATATATAACTGCTAACCCATATTAGCAAGTCATTGCTTTGGTAAATATCATTTTTTTTTTATACACAACATATCTAAACAATTATTTATTAAAATTATAATTGAATAAAATATTTATCTTTATAATTAAGTGAGTATTATTCAAACACTTTCCCTTTAATTGCTGATTTTATGGTGAATTTCAATTTCTTATTCAAATAATCACAAAATCAGCATTAGAAACGATAGAATAAGAAAAAGATGCAACTGTATGAACAAATAAATATAATAAAACTGTAAATTAATTAAATAATTAAATATGAGAAAAAAATCCTATATTATATAAATAAAATTTGATAAATTGAAAAAATAGTAATAATAATGGACAAGGATTTTAATTTAATTATTATGCACAACTAAGTGGAATTTTTTTTAATTTTAGTAAATAAATAAACCAAAATATATAGCTTTAAGGAAAAATTAAAATTAATTGAAAACTCCAACATTCCCAAGGTTACATAGGTTAATAACATGTAAGGTTCTGTTAGTTTTAGTCCAATTCCCAACTAATTTACATATCATGCAACCTCTTCATACTGGGTATCCTTTACCTAACATTGGTTATAATCAAAACCGAAGAAACCATTTTTAATACATTAAATTTTATATATATATATATATATATATATATATATATATATATATATATATATATATATATATATATATATATTTATATATATAAAATTTATGACCATATAATATATAATCTATAATATACAATCTATTGAAGATATTATATAATCTTTGAGCCTCCATTTTGATAGAAGCGGACATGGGATTTTAGGGGACTTTTCATGGTTTGTTCCACATTGGAAAAGGAACTATTTCCCACATTTACAACCAATTATGAATTTTCTTGATATAAATTCTAAATTTACTGGACTAGAACCATTTATGTTTAATGTGGTGAAAGATTATGTAATATAATGCATTGAAATACTTATTGTAAAATTTATTCAAGCACTTATTTCAGTTACTTTAACAACTAAAATTATTAAGTGCTTATAAATAAATAATGAAAAAATAATACAAAAGTTACTTAAGATATTTTTGATATTATTAAATATAATGAAGTTAATGTAATGAGTACTTAAGGCTGAATTTCTTCTTCTTTTTTTTTTATGAATAGAAAGTTTTGTTTCTTAAAATTGTCAGAATTTCCCAAACAAAATTTTAAAGGAGACGATGCATTTATTGTAATTGTAGGCTACAAAGCCAACAATATATTTTTTAAAATTAAAATTCATGAGACTAAAAAACAAACTACACTACTTAAAGAATTTTAATTTTCAAACATATTGGCTATCTGGTCATGTTCTGGTGATTTGGCTGTTTTTACCTGGAGCTGTTCCTAATTCTTCACTTTTTTAACATATATTTATCTTTTTAAGAATTTAAGAAGTTTGCATTTTCTTTTTGGGCTGAATAAAATACTTCTTTCACTTGATCAAGTAAGGTAATTTTTAAGGTATGAAGTATGATATTTTAATTTTTAAAATAATGGAATAACAAAAATGGGATTTTATAAGGGAAGTTTACCCTTTTACATCATTTTTTTTCTTTTTCGGCGATAAGATTTTTAAAAAATCCTATTTTGATATTTTTTTTTCAACATTTATTTCTTCTTTTTTTTCCAATTTATGATGATTGAATGAAAAAATATTTATTTCTTACTTTATATACTTTTAAAATACTTTTTATAGAAAAATATTTGATAGTTTTTTTACAAAGGTATCTTTGAAACCAAACGCTACATATAATTATAGGAGGAACGTGGGAGTTAGTTTCCAAATATGAATAAAGAGTTTTTTTCTTTAAAAAAATACGCTAAATATAATAATTAAAGTATTTCTTACGTTTTATTCGATAGAACCTCTTTCACCATTCTTGAAACATTATCATAGTTTATTTCTTTAAGCCTTAGCATTTTTCCGATACCAGCTTCTTCGACGAAGAGGAAGTTCTTTCCCTGGTCTCCAAAGAAGGGTATGCCTATCACAGGGACCCCAAAATGAACTGCTTCTACAAGACTGAGGTAACCACCATGGGTGATGAAGAGAACAGTGTTATTATGTGCTAGAAAAAAATATTAAAACATTTAACTTGGATTGTAAAATTATTTATTAGTCAAGTATATTTATTATTAAACTGCTGATCATACAATATCCTTTCATGTATATACTTATGATTAGAAGCAGATTGTATAGAAAATAATTTTGTTAATTGAATCAATAGGAATGACTGGTGTGATTATTTTATTTTATTACAAATAAGCATGGTTATAAAATATGAGGTTCTGACATTTACATTATTAATTTCACCATAAATATAATTTAATTGGTTATTGCATAATCTCAGAACGTTTTGCGTTTAATAAACAAAAGACACTGATTATAAATGTCGTATAATTTAAATTTGTGTTGTAAGTTTTACATTAAGTGTCAGAGACGCTTTTATTTCAAGCTGTATTATTCTATTTATTTATTTTAGCTTCATATATTAATCTACAACTGTGAAATCGAAAATCGATTGCATTGGTTATTCAAGAAACAAAACATACAGAAGTTTTACAAATTTAAAAACCACGCAAAAACTATTTTACATAAAAATTTTCATAAATTTATTCAGACTGTTTTAGTCTGTGAAAAACATGTCTGTAAAAAATCTTTACGATATTCATGCCATGCGTATTCTTATATTATTAAAATATGTGTCTATGAATAATGTACCTAATACAAGTTCCAACTGAAAACCTGCAAAAGTTACATACGCACTGTTTCTGAAATAACCGAATCAAACATCAGACCTGTATTATTATACCTCTGATCAGATTTGCAAAACATTACCTAAAGAGGTTGAACTTATATTATAGCTTTTTAAAGTGAAATTCATAATTTTTTCAACTAATTTTATAATTTTTTCATCCAATTTCATATTTTTTTCAACCAATTTCATAATGTTTTGAACCGATATCATAACCTTCGCAAACAAGTTAATAATTTGGTCAACATCATAATTATTTTAACATTGTTTTATTTTATTTTTTAATTTTCTTCTTCCCTTGCCTCTCGGAAATGAAGATTTTTGGTCGAAGTTTTTGATACTTTTACCACTTATCTTCTGGTTCTTCAGTCTTTAACAAGACCGGTGAATAACTGAAATTGTGATTTTCTGGATAGTAAAATAAATAAACAGAGAGGATTCTCATGTTTCTTTAGATCCAAATCTCTTCAAATTTGAAATGAGTTTTTGATAACGATACCTCATCAAATTAAGTGTATAGAATCGGTTAAAACAATTAACAAATTGGTTGAAAAAAATTTGATATCCACTAAAAAAATCAGTATATTAATGAGTACTTACATTTATTTATATTTAACAATTAAATAATTCTTCAAAGCGATAATAGGTCGGTTTCATATTGAAACAGTTAATTGTATAATTTATAAGGCAAACTTGTAAAAAATGTATAATAAAAATACCCAAGACGTCTTGCTGGGGATACCATTTTTCCAAATGAACATTTTTTGGTAGCTTTCCCTCGTATGTTGCCGCCTCCCACTTCATAAGAACCTTTTGAGGAATCTCTTCGAAGACCTTCATAAATGCTTCAACAAGGTTTCTATTTGCAGGGTCTGATACATTCAAGTTAGATCCGAGGGAGAGGTAAATAACACCGTTTAGTGCGTCATCCATGAATGTTTGGATTCTCTATTAAAATTAAAAAATAAAATATATATATAGATACATAGCACTAGTATTTAATAAATCATATAAGCAAGTTATGGAATGCAACAAACTTTAGCCAGTAGTGAAAGGTGGTCCCACTTAGTGTGTCAATTTATTCTGATACCGACTAAATAATTAAATCTCGACTTTTCAAAAAATATTTAACAACCTGAAGGGTAGATAATCTACCCTTGGATCTCTAGTTAGAATATTGAAATAATCTGGTGCTCGCATCACATGACTTTCACTTACCATCTTTGCACAAATAAGTACTTTCAGACAAATGGGAAGTATAAGTAAAAATTATTGATACTATATTTATTTACAATTCTTATAATAAAACTCTTATATATAAAAATTTTAATTTTTGTACTGCTGTATTCTATACAATTAAATATTAAACAATACCAACGATAGCATTTATGATTTTAGAGTGCTACCACTGTGTAGTTTCATGTTACTTTGTTCACATTTACAGAATGTATTTTTATTTGTAATACAGTTGTAAATATAATCAATACAAAAAAAAAAAAAAAAAAAAAAAAACATATTTGCATATGAACATAATATTATAGGAATCCGTATTATATGAAGCTTAGGTTACGTATGAAAGCATGTTGTTATCTTTGGGGCAAGCTCGTATTCCTTTGATTCCTCAATTACAACTATTATCCGTTATGATCTCTTATTTCTCCTTTAGTTAATTATCAAATTCATTCATATTTTATATTTAACTATTTTTTATTTCAAATATTAATGTTAAATAGTTAATAATTTCAAATAATTCAAAGGTACTTTAGAAGAAGTAAATATTGATAATTAGCCATTTAAGCCCTAACATCAGTGATAATAAAATCTAGATTACTTTAAAAACTGCTTATCACATTGATATTCTCAGTTTAATCAAAACCGTTTTCGAGAAAATCTTAAAATTGTGTTAAATCGGTTAGAAAGTACCACTTCCGGTTTACCGATTTTGACGAAAATGTTGCTGCAACATTGAAAGCTACTAAAAACCTTAAATATGCAATTTCATTTTCATACGACTTTTCGTTTTTGAGCTAAACGAATGGAAGCCATGAGGAAGCTATACTGACCTTACTTGTCAGACGTTTTTTACCTTAAGATCTTACTTTTTTTTTTTAATTATTTAATTTGCTAAATTAAAAGTATTAAATCTTGAAAATGTTTCAGTTATGTTTCATTTTAAATTTAATAAACTCAAATATATATAATTGAAGATTTTGTAATATTCATATTGAACAACTATTATTTATTTTTCTTGGTTCCTGTCTTGAATATCCTCATCACGACTCAAGATAATATAACTAAAATTATCTCTACAGGCATTTTTCGCAGAGGTCTAAAATCTGATACAAACAGTGTCGATGTATGTTATAGGCCCGAAATATATATAATGAAGTTTCGAGCACGAAATATAAAAACAAGATAAGTATATTAATCTGGCGAACAAAGCTAAAATAACTACGAAAAAACGTTATATAGATATTATTCAGAACTTTTTTTTTAGATCATTGCAAATATATCATCACATATTTACTTTAGTCAATTTGATGAAAAGCCTAAAATATAGCTACTATACATTGGGTTCCCTTGTCAGGAATTTCACACGAGATTAGGAAGTTAATTAAGCCATAATAACTAATGTAACAATCCAGGGCCGAAGTTTAAAAAAGAATAGATGTAATCCGTATTAAATAAACTTTAACATTAAAATCAATACATAAAAAATACGAACTATAACAACGGTGCCACATAGCTATCATATGTACATACATATGTATAAGAAAAATAAAATAATAAAGAGAAGAATAGTTGAGGTGTTCAGTCAAAAAGGAAGGGAAAAATAAATTATAATATTTTAGTCCTGATGAAGGCCTGAACTTCAGGTCGAAACGTCGGCATATGTAAAAAATAAATATTATAATTTATTTTTGCCTTCCTTTTTGACTGAACACCCCAACTATTCTTCTCTTCATTATCCACGACAGTCAACCAATTACCAATTAATAAAATAATATAATATAAATAATAGATACCTTGGGTAGAGGTTTCCTAGGTGTGATAGTAATACCAGCAACATCTTTCCTGTGTGGTGGCTTTGGAACTGGGTAACCCACGACATTGTTGTAATTTACCAAGACAAGACTTCGGTTAGATAACACTTGCATAAATGGAGGTCTGCTCTCATGTCCAGTGTAGTTGAAGTACTGGTTCGCAATTTTTTCCATTTGGTTCATGTAGTGATACCCACCGATGGTTGTCACTGCGTATACGTATGTGTTATACACTCTCTGCCAGAAATTCATATTTTGGGTTAACTCTGCCTTAAAGTCTATTTGATAGGAAGGGTTGTCTGGCAGTCCAGCTAATTCGTTCATCCATCCCGAGTCACCTTTAATTGCAACAAAGTACAAAGTTAGAGCCATATTTTCACTACGGTCACTATATTGTAAGGATTCATCCCTTAAAGGCTAGTAAAATTGGACAGGGCGAAGAACGTTAGTTGTAGCAAACGTTGGAAAGTTTACTATGATTTTTTTTTCGAAAATGAAGAACGTCAAGCAGAATAACCGTTTTGAAGTGATAGAGAAACAGAGAAAGAATTAAGCATACAGGGAAATGATTTACCATGATACCTTACGAACTAAAGATTACTAGTTACAGAGGTACAAGAAGCGAAGATCCGTCGGAGGAAGAAAATAGGATGGGAGATTACTATGAAATTTGGCTCATCTTCCCAAAATGTAAATGAATCTGTCTTCCAACCAAACGTAACATCATACAAGAACATAAATAAACACCTATTTTCATATTATGATTGAAAAAGCTTTAATAATAATTGGGTAACTCGCGTCCGTACATTGTACACGTGCCCTCCGGTTATAACTAAATGAGCAATATTGTCGCCGCGAAAACAGTTCAACATCATAGAATCAACAAAAATATAAATCCATCAAAATTAAGGAAACCAAAAGATCCAGTCAACATACAGCTTAAGGCTATGTTCTGGAACGCTGGTGGCCTAACTGCTGACAAATTCACAGAATGGAAGACGATTATTACAAAGGAGGATGCTGATTTATGTGGGATCGTAGAAGCCGGCTCATCCACTGCAAATATCCAGTTCTATCAATTGCCGGGATATCAAACTTGTGAACTGCAGAGATCCAGGCAGGTTGCATCAGGAATAATTGTCGCTGCTAAATAATCCCTCATGGTACCTTTTCATAAATTGAGAATGATAAATTGGAGGCTGTACAGTTAGATGTATGGAAAAGGATTCATGGTGGAGTTGTATTGGGCTACGAGGAGCCAGATGGCCTAATAGCCAACGCCAGAGGCGTTTAATAAAAATAATAAAATATTATGATTTGGTGCCTTGTTCCCATCACGAATGTAACACATACTATCTACAGTGCACAGTTTGAGAAAAGGACAAGTAAACGTCTGCAGATGTTATTTTAATATTATTACATTAGCAGATGGAAGTGATATATTATATTATTAAATTGAAATATTATGACTAACGCTAACTATTAAATATACATATAGGTATATTCAAAGTTTCAATGATTTCAGAGATAAGGTTTGGAGAATTGTTGTTCTGTACGTAATACATTTAGCGGAACTACTTATGTCACGATAGAATCAAAGATGGGCATAGTAATAATCAACGATTATGATTACAGTGATCTTAATAATGTGCTTAAACCAGGGGTGCCCAAAAAGGGATTTGATGGCGCAAGTTGCGCCATCAAAATATATGAAGGGGTACTGTGCGTCATCGACCTTGGGGGAGATAAGCACCCATGGATTAAAAGATTACAGCCGTAATCAGGTTTCCGATTAGAATTGTTATCAGTCAACGGTGTCACATTTTTCTACATTTATAGTGCTATTGAATCAAGTATATTAAGTTTTATTTTCAGTGGTAATCATGAAATCATTGATTCCGATTTTACCCATATTTGGATAGGAGTAAATCCACTTGATTTTATGTAAAGAAAAGTGAATCTGTTTAAAATGAAATTCAAGAAGAAGTTCTAAGCTGTTATTTCTGATTAAATAGCTGTTTTTTTTTTGTTTTTTTTTAAATTTTGGTTACTGAATAAGAGAGAGGGTGAGATATTCCAAGTAATAAATGTTTCTTGGAGCTTCTGAAATCGAAGCCTCAAGTGACATGAATAGTATTGCCCAAATGTGAAACTAATACGAGTCTTGATTTTGCGCAAGAGTTTTGTAACAGTCTTGCAGTTATTTATTAGCTTATTACTATATAGATATTACTGTATTTTTTTAGATAGCAGAAACCTAACTAAGGCCGAATGGAACAAAAGTTAAATTCAAAAATATATTGGGTATACCAATTATTTACATATAGTAACTGAAATTAACAAGCATTAGTAACTATTGTGCCTTAATTTTAATTCCAAAAAAAAATTTTTTTTACCTGGCTTGGTCTTGGTCCTGCAATGTGTAAGACCAAGACTTATTTTGGAAAACACTAGACATGAACCATTTCAAGGAAAAATTCTAAATTAGATTAGAATCCTTAAGAGTACTATAGCTTCATTGTTATATTTCTAATATATATATATATATATATATATATATATATATATATATATATATATATATATATATATATATAGCCAAAAAAAAAAAAATATATATATATATATATTTTTTTTTTTTGGCTTTAAATATTTATTTGCACCTGCTAACTTGTGTTGAAAATCAGGAAAAATATTGAAATACGAGAAATAATGTCATGTCAGGCATGTGGAAGTACAGTACTGAGTATCACCATTTCCCTGACTTTTTTCAATAACTTAGGTTCTATATGAAAGCAGGTCTCTCATCCAATGCCTTTTTAGTCTCCTCCTCACATTCAGGGGAACGTCAGCTGTTGACATGTGTCTTGGGTCCCTCTGCCGTAAATGCGGCAGAGAGTCTGAAACAACAGCCCATGTGCTGGGAAAATGCCCCTACAACTCCCTCCTCATAACACGTCGTCAACACCGGGTCAAGTTCGAGTTGATGAGGCTCCTTAGGAAAAGGAAATTCACCTGCTTTGACGAGGTATATTGCATCGATAGTGAAGGCTCTACGAGATACGCGGATATCGTCGCATTTCCCAAGACAGGAAGGACAGCGCTGATCTTGGATCCAACTGTCCGCTTTGAGAGCAATGACCTCGATCAGGCGGTTGAAGTGGAAAGGGAAAAGAAGAACACGTACGATAAATGTATCCGTTTCCTATAATATAAATTCCGTGAGACCTTCGGAGAGAGAGAGAGTTCACCATGAGAGGCCTCTGGTTTGGGTCTCGCGGAACTATCCCAAAGAGAACAAGGAGCTTCCTCGAGGAACTAGGTGTCGACATTAAGGACGTAGCGAGGTTGGCTGAAAATATAGTCCTCGACTCCCTGGGAATCATTCGTCACCGCGTGCATGGCTAGCCCGAGAGTTTTAATTTATGTATTTATTTATTTATTTAATGAATAATTGTAAACAATAGAGATAAAGAGAGAGAAGTGAGAGAAAGGGAAACTAAATGTTAAAAAAAAAAGTATAAACAATGAAAGGAAGGAAAAAGGAAAAAAAAAAATGGAAAAAAATAATAAAAATGTGTATATATATATATATATATATATATATATATATATATATATATATATATATATATATATATATATATATATATATATATTTTACTAATATTAACTAATACTTCTGTATATTTATATATAAGTTCATATATTGTCCTAAGGATAGAAGGGTATGCTGTGTGTATAGCAACCCAATATAATTGGGCAGCAATCCTTTATATTTTATGAAAATAAAGTGTTTCTCTCTCCGTTGTAATGTACGTTTAAATTAGCCTAAATTTTTTGGTAGTGAGTCGTTATGTGTTGGTCAATTGTTTAAAGGTGGACGTCAGTATGTAGAGTATTGTCTAGTCGCGGACCAAGATGATTTTTTTTATGAATCGCAATAATTTTGATTGGAAGATTTGAAGTTTTTGTAGGTGGATCATTTTAGCAATACCGTATCTATGATGAGTATGTCCATATGGATTTAAGAAAGTATGTATAAGTATTCACTTTCAATTTTGTTAAGTGGCATACGTTTCATTTTCAATTACGGGCCCTATGTCATCCCTCTGTCGAAGGCGAATAAAAGATAAAATACCATGTCCGTTTGAGGAATTCAGTAGTCAATGTAAACTGGAGGTCAAGTATTTTTTCGAAGAGTAAATGTTAGATTTTTGGAGTATTAATTTAAATGAATAATATTCATTATATGTTTTATAATTGAACTTTTTCTGAAGAAGACAGAATAGAGAAAAACAATATATTTCCATAAGTTTTCATGTACTAACTGTAACATTTTATACGTTATTCTAAAAAATTAACGTTATTATAAGAAAATAATTTTATTTCTTACCTAAGGAAATTATGTCAATTCCTACAGCATTAAACTTGTGTATGAAAGGAGATTGGTATTCCTGAATGAAATAAGTCTCAAATAACACAGCATCAAACTTCTCATCTGAGTGTATCAATTTCTGTACTGTCTTAGTTTTCAAAATGATTGGTCCTAAGAAGACAGATAGTTCAAAAAGATTTTTCAAATCCTGGATGATAGTAGTGTCGACAAAATCCATTATGTTTATGGTTGCTATAATTTAAAAACATACAATTAGTTAAGTTGAACATATTAAATAGCAGTTAATTATTCTAGGGTTGATTACAGTGTATATCAGGCAGTTCCCCGGATATATCCACCTGTTGGATTCCAGGTGGAACGGCTCCTTCATAAGGATATCCCGTGTAATAGACCACCTCGTGCCCTTTGCTGCCTAGAGCAGCCATTAGCGGCCTGAAGACATAGTGGTGCGATTTAGACGCCAGCGGGAAGAAGGCCAAGATTCTGGCGGCTTCCGAGTAGGCTACCAGTAGCGACAACAGTATCCATATCTTCATCTCTTCTGTTATTCTGCAAGTTTAAAGCAAAATACGTTTAATTTCTGATAATAAAGGTTTGTTTTATTAATTACAACTGATAATATTTAATATGACAATCAACAAGACACTTTCTTGGAAAAGAAATTCGTATTTAAAATTGCTCATTATCATTAATCAATTTATGTTATTCAATATACATAATGGGTTAATAATAATGAGCAATTTCAAATACAAGAATATCCAATCCCTACAATCCAAAATCCTTCGTAAAATGCCCAATGCTCCCTATTTTGTCACAAATACAATCATCCATAACGACCTTAATGTACCACATGTTTCCGGTTTAGCTCAATCCAGATACATATCCTTCCATACTAAACTTCTGAACCATCCGAGATCTCTTGTTTCCAACCTTTCTTCGTCTTTTGTTCCTGATAGCCCTCCGAGACCTCTGAAAAAAAAGGAGGCCTCGAGACCTTCTAATATAGAAATATAATTGGAGTGCTACCAATGGGTTGTTTCTCTTCATGTTGTACATGTCATATTACTTGTTTCATATTTACTCGTTTTATTTATCATTTAATACAGTTGTAAATTACAATAACAATATATATATATATATATATATATATATATATATATATATATATATATATATATATATATATATATATATATATGTATACATTTTTTTATGAAGCTGATACGAGACCCTGAAGGGAGGCACTCAGCAGCCTGATGTTATACTGCATAACTTCTTCTATTTCGCTTTGATGAAGAAGTAAAACATGCTTCGGAGCGTTGGCATTGAATAAGTAATTATCAATTATCTGATATTTTTCTGACTTAGCCCCGAATGATTTTATTTCTTGCATTGTTCCGTTCAATATTCTATACAAATCATTCTTTGAAATCGATAATTATTTTTTCTACGAAATGCAGGAATTATTATATGTGATTTTTAATTTTAAAATCTTGTCTGATTTACCACCATAATTTTCAATCGATCTTTTATATTTATTGGTATGATTTAAAATAGCGTTCACTTACTGAATGATAAGGTATCATCATAAATAATGATTAAACTTTAAAAAAAAAATGACGATCAGAAAATAAAAATCACCTTTTTCAATATGTTATTAATGCATACATTTTTTAATAATACATTTCTGAAATATCTTTAACTATATATGTGCTACCAACTACACATGTTACCGTTAAGGAGGCGGACTGCGGGACGAAATTTCTATATAATTTCGGAAATAACGATGTTCTGTTGGTATTAATTGACAATAATATTCCCCATCTATTATTCTTTACTTAAAATATATCATAGAAATTATAAAAAATAAATAAATTTCTGATTTAAAAAGTATTACCTAAAAAAACTTATTATTATTGTTAATTGTAAAAATTTTGTTGAAAAATATATTATTATTAGATCAGGATATTATTTTTGTCAATGGTGAACACAAATAAAAAGCAACTGAAGATTGTTAAAATTTCCAAATAAAATTTTTGGCTGGATTTGATTTTTATAATTATTGATTTCAAACTCTGATACGTATACGTGGTTTTCTTTTCTTTTAAACTATTTCTATTTTTTGTTTATTTCAAATATCTTACTTTTTTAAATTAAAAAAAAATATTACCTATTTATGCCACTCATTTGTCATACACTGATGTCTTTTAGTACAACCTTATTTGTTTTATGATTATTTTATCTAATATTTGTGATAATATGAATTTTAATTATTTGAGCGTTCCAAAGATCCTCTTATATCTAGTCGTATTTATTTATCAACTGTTCTGATTTGTTTTTCTCTCTAATTCTTACTCTTCGTGTTTTTGTTTCTATGGTACTAAGATATGTTCTATGCTGTTGGTTTCATATAGTTAATCATTCTATTTATAATATTTGCACGGAGGCCATTCAAATTGACATTTTTCGTAATTCGATTAAATTAATATTATTTTATACATCTCATTATAAAGTAAAATGATTGAAATAGAAATTTAAAAAAAAATAATAATAATAAACCAAAAAAAAGTGTGACCAGCAGATCTGTGTTCCTAATTTTCATTTATTATTAATTTAAAAAATAAGATGAAAAGGTATTAAATTATTTTTAAGGTGGTTAAATAGAAAAATAAATGTTTTTCTAAATTATTACTCAATGGTTTATTCTATTTAATAAGTTATAAATTAAATATATAAATTAACTACCATATAATAGCTTATCTCTTCGCTCAAATTACCTAACCAAATAGAAAAACATTTGTTTGCTACGATTTGATTGATTTAAAAGCAATAATTAATATGCTTAATATGAGATATATTTCTATTGAAAGTGAATTCTTATACTTACTTTCTTAAATCCATATGGACATACTCATCATAGATACGGTATTGCTAAAATGATCCACCTACAAAAACTTCAAATCTTCCAATCAAAATTATTGCGATTCATAAAAAAAATCACCTTGGTCCGCGACTAGACAATACTCTACATACTGACGTCCACCTTTAAACAATTGACCAACACATAACGACTCACTACCAAAGAATTTAGGCTAATTTACTTTACAACGGAGAGAGAAACACTTTATTTTCATAAAATATAAAGGATTGCTGCCCAATTATATTGGGTTGCTAAGAGAAAGAACTGCAGCCATTAATAATTGGGAATTGATATTCTCATCCTTTAGTATTGATGAGAAAGGGATCTTTTACTGAAAATCTGTTATTGTTGCACAAGTCTTGATAATGTGTCTTGTTGTGTCCACTCGGTGCCAAGATAACTATTTCTAAGTTATCAGAGATAGCTTGTCTTAGCTGTCCTAGAAAGCTAGGTCCTTGGTGTTATGTGAATATTCAATTCATGATTCACCAATTGGCACAGTAATAAACTCAATTATTAAAACATAGGTTAAATTAATATTATTATTTGTTACAGAATAAATCCTTTTCGTAACTATGTATTATTTACGATGTTTTTTATTATCCTGAACTATAATAAAATAAGCTAATAATAACTACATTAATAACATACAATAATATTAATAATAAATCAATAACCATAATAATAACCGCATACCAATTTATTCGAGGTTTGTTTAGGAACAGAAGTCAGATTTTGTTATAAAAATATACTGTCACTCCAAAGTATCAGTATTTTCATCAAACATAACAATCGAGAAATTATATCAAAGTTTGAATTCTTTCTTTTTCTTGTGACCTGACATCTATTTTCGTAAATTAGTTTTAAAAATCTGGTGTTCCCATTACACAAATTTCACATACCACCTTTTTGTCAGAAGAAGTTGGTATTTTCAGGCAACGGTAAAAATTAAAAACAGTACAAAAAAAATTATTACATTATGTTTTTCACAGCCGTCTTATGTTTTTTTTGTTTTTTTTTTTTTTTGCTACTATACGTTTCTTTTTATAACTGGGTACATTAATTATTTACTCGATTATAATAAATAACTGAATGCCATGAAATATTATTAGTCCGATAACACTACCATTAATAAAGAAGGCCGCAATATTTATTCATATTTCATTGGAGGTACTTTTGTTTGGTTATACACAGATTGGTTATACATAATATAATTTTTGTGTTGCTGAAATCTATAAAATTAAACATCTTATACTGCCAAAGCTAGCTTTTATAAAAACCGCATATGTATATGTAATAATGAAATTATCACAGGCCGTATTTTATTAAGAGCGTGTTACATATCACTACTGTTAGTGCAAAAGGTCATATGTAAAAATTGAATTTGTTTACAGAAGTGTATCATTAAAAACGGTTATTTGGAATCAGGAAACCTCAAAACGTATATTTCTCAGAAAATTCGGATTAAAAAATTTTCACGATCGCCTTAATTGCCCTTATTACAGAATTTTACAAACTTAAATACTTAGTGGGCGAGATGGCCGAATGGGCTAACGCGTTGTGCACAGCACCACCGTTGCCCGGCAACCTGATATATTAAATGTTATAAAAATAGTCACGAGTTCGCGTCCCGGTGCCAAGGCGTCTTTTAAATCCCTGCCCACACCCCCTGGCCCGGGGAAACCCCGTATAGCCTTAACGGTGAGGAAGGGAGGACCAAAAAAAAAAAATAATAAACAACTTAAATAATTGGGGGCGAGGTGGCCGAATGGGCTAACGTGTGTGCACAGCACCGCGAGTTGCCCGGTAACCAGATAATCAAGTTTTGAGATTGAAAAAAAAAGTACGAGTTCCTGACTCGGTGCCAGAGGGGATTTTAAATTCCCCGCCCTCACCCTCCGGCCCGGGAAACGCCCGTATAGCCTAAAAGGCGAGGTAGGGAAGAACAGAAAGAAAAAAAAAATCTTAAATACTTAAATATTACAAATTTACATAATTGAAAGTAAAAATACACTTCAACAGAATGGTGGAATGAAAAAGTGCGTGGCGCCAGACAACCACCGTGAAATTAAAAATTAAATTAAAAAATACTGACGCAAAGTAAAATCCTGTGAGAGAAAACAAGTAAGTCAGTGAGAAACGTGAAAGACTCAAGCGGTAACATAATAACAGAAGATAAGAAAAAATTACCTATTTTGATTTTTTCGATGACATATTCTACTTCATCTTCTCTAATGACATCAGAGTTCTCCAGAATATAATTTCTGCAGCTTGTTCTTCTGTGTCATTAGATCATTCTGAAAAGTGCACTTGATAAAACTCACTCTAGCTCACAAGAATTTTCTGTTATCATGTTGCCACTTGAGTGTTTCACATTTCTCACTGGCTTATTTGATATATCAATTCATTGATATGATTGCTGATATGGTTTGAATACAATTCAATAATTGATTTAAATACTTACTCATCTAAATGGTGCAATCGCTCATATTATTGCAGTAAGTAACACTTCGCCTATAATTATTTCAAATTTAAACGAATAACCCGCTAATTAGTTCTGACTATCAATAACTTCCATAATGTCAAATAAACATTTATATGAATTTGTATCAAATT